TTAAAATTCAAAATAATCCTTACTTATCTTTTAGTGGGCTTTCATCTAGCTCCTCAGTTTATCCACAGTGTTAAACGAGGTGTTTTAGCTCACTTCTCTTGCCTTTAAAAGTTACTTTTGTAGTTACCCTGTGAAGATTTTAACAAAAACCACTAGGAGGCAGCATTTTACCAGTTCCTGTGTGTAATAGTTTTCAGATGTGTGCTGCTGTTCTTTCTGAAACTTTGACTTAAGGATGGTAAAAGGAAAAATAATATTTTTAGTGGCATAAGCAAACTTCCATAATGTGGCCTATTTTAAATAAGAACGTGTTCTTAATTTCTTACCTGGTTAACGTTCTGCATCATCTTGTGGTTAAAAAAAATGGTATTACACAAAAGTGCAGCTCATCTCTAATTTACCTTCACTTGTTATCTTGTCAACACGATACATAAATGTTCAGGACATGAAGTCATAGGCGTTGTTTCTTTAAATGTTATCGATATGTTTAGTTAGTTTAGAAAGATTTAAACTATTTTTAAACAATGAGAACCTTTAGGCAAACTCTCTAATCATTGGCTGCACCGCAGAAAGGGAAGAATTGAACAGCAGGTGCTGTGCTTACAGTCAGAGCTGTTTGCTTGAGATTTCGCCTTTCCTTCAGCATCATACAAAGCAGAGAATTGAACAATCTGACTGAATTTGAGTGTTTAGAGCATTATGAAGCCCAAACTTTAGGTTGACATGGATTATATGCCCTTAAAGATGAGCATTGTAACTGTTAATATGTGGCATAAAAGTAGACCCAACACCTCGGTAAATCTACACTAAGAGACAGCTTCCACAACTAAGACTGACATATTTATAAGTAACTTCAAAGATGTTGAAATATACACCAGAATTTAAAACTTTTGTTTTTCTTTAAACAACCAACCCACTGGCCAGCTGTTGCTTGTTTTGAAGGTAAATATGAAAATGTAGGTGCCCATTTTTACACAGCCCCATGTGGAAGCCGTTCATACTGTGGCACCTGGGTGTTCACAACTCACCTCCGCACATCTGGCCCGTCGTGGTGTGAGGTGGGCGTCGATGTTGGTGTCAGTCTCTAAAAGTGACAAGTGCGTCTTTACCCTCATCAGTTTTTATTTAAGCCTGCGGCATATGACGGAAAAATTCTAAAGGACGTGGATACACATTATTTTGTTGCTTTTATTTGCTTTTTTTGTGCAGAATCTTTTTTTTGTTTTCAGATTGATGTCTGCTTCTGCAACCAGCAGCAGTCTCTCGCTGACTTGACGTGATAGATGGCCTAAATGCTTAAACTGCCCTTGGCAAGATCCCAACTCTTTCTCTACAATTACTTGCTTGGTTTGTTCTTTCTAATCATAGATATGTCATTCTGTGCTATAATGCTGAACAATAGCCAGCTTCAAGCGTTAGCAGCTAAATCCCCCCCCCTCCTCTCTGTCTCTTTCACTTTGCATCCCTGCCCTCCTTCGCTCCTCCATTGCTCCTTGCTCTCCTGCTCTCTGCCTGCATGGGTTATGTGACTCACACAACACTAAAAACTAATACAACATTAACTCTGCGCCGGAGAAAGCTCAATATTGTTACGCTTCTGTCTGTTCACCGTCGCACGCTCGAGGCTGTTTGTCAAATGGCCTTTTGCTGATGTCTCACAGAGGTTCAGTCTAACGTCTGTGTCTCGGCTTTCCTTTAAAATTAAGGCGGTATTCTTCCTTGTCGGGATGCTTGGTCTCCATGGTAACATCAGGTCCATTATAAGTGCCATAAAGAGCATGTGAGGGAATGTTAAATCGCCAGTCTGCCAGTCTCCATCACCTCACTGGGTTGATTGTGTAACTCACACTCCCACGGGAAACCCTCCTTTCTCCCTCGTTCTCTTCCACTCTCCTTCTTTCTCCTCTTTTTGTCACACATTTGCCTCTCTCCTTTCCTCTCATACTATTTCAGTCATACAGTCAGCACACACACACACACACACACACACACACACACACACACACCATTTACCGAGTCAAACACTGACCCCCAGTGGAAAAACACTCTCAAATCCTCTGACACAAGTTTTACTGTCCAAGGCACACCAGCAAGAAAGACGAGGCTGTACATCTCAATTCATATCTGCATAAATCATAAGGTCTTCTTTGGATTGCATTGTCAAATAAAGGCAATGGATCAGGCACAACACCAGCAATTTTATTTCCAAGAATGTCTCCACTTCATTTGCATTTACCTTGCCTCCATCACCTTATCAGACACTTTTCACACAATCCCACAGTCTCTCCCAAGCACCAAATGTCTGCAAAACACTGTTTGCAGACTGACTGCTGGTTTTCTGCTGTTGATTAGAGGTCTAAATGGTAGAGTTTAATAGATCACATAAACACTTCTAATTCACACCAAGCTGTATATTCAGCCATTTATGGCACACTGTCCACTTTATTGAGCAGACCTATTCATCTCCTCCTTAGACTGCTCCTTCTCAATCAGCCAATCATTTGGCAGCATATCTATGTAAACATGGTCAAGGTGCCCAAAGTAAATGGGGAAGAAAAGTGATTTAAGTGACTTTGAGTGTTGCCCAGTGGTCAGTGCCAGATGGAGTCATCTGAGAATTTCAGAAACTGCTGATCTACTGGGATTTTCCAGCGTAGCCATCCCTAGAGTTTACAGAAGCTAATCCAAAACAGAAAATATATAGTGAGCAGCAGGCATAAATGCCTTCCTGATGTCAGAGGTCAGAGTAGAATGGCCTGACTGCTTGCGCTCGTCACAAACAAAGTATGCACATCTTTGAATGTGTGACATGTTAAACCTTGAAGCAGATGGGCTGCAGCAGCAGGAGACCACACTGGGTGCCAAAGTGAACCTATTTGTGCAAATCTCTAGACAGTCAAAGCTTTTCATCCAATATTTAAGTGTAGCATGTTCACTGAGGGCCTTCTTGCTGTGACACGAGAAGTTTTGGGATTCAAATCTGCTAGCCTACACTGCCTGCACTGTTTAGACTGCTGGGTAGGTTGTAGTCTCTGGTTCAGAGCCAGGACTGTTTTTGAAGTTTCTCTTCTAAAGAGATTCTTGGTTTCCAGGTGCCTGTTCAGTTTGCTCTGCAGCATCTTAGAATTGGCCAACATTTCCCTAGAGATACCACACATGACCTGAAGACGAGGTAGCTTTTTTGATGCTGTGTACAGATTCTTGTCTTTTCTTTTTTTGGTGAGCCATCTGCGCTGGTGGTTTGCACCACACAAGAAGGTGATCCGCTTTTAACCCTTGTTATCCTCTGAGCGCTCAGTGGAAGTCTTATATGTTCCAGGCTCTCTTTTTTTCCAGCATCCCACAACTGTGCAGACAGATCGGGTTTCCATTTAATACCCTTGTTTTGTTTTGTTTTGTTTTGTTTTGTTGTTGGTTTTTTTTACCCCATAATTTTCCATTCAGTTGTATATTCCAGTAATATTGTGTGGTTGTGACAAAATTGACCTGAATCTTTCTCTCAGAAACATTTCTCTAACTGCTTAAATTATATATCTTTCCTCTGTCACTCAGGTCTTCACTCGCTATGGGAAGTGTTACACCTTTAACGCTGGCGGTGATGGGCGCACTCCCCTCATCACCACCAAGGGAGGTATGGGTAACGGCCTCGAGCTCATGCTGGACATTCAGCAGGATGAATACCTGCCAGTCTGGGGAGAAACAGGTGAGAGGAAGCCCATTCAGGTGGCGGGTTATAGCTGTCTGTCGCACTGGTGCGATTGATGTGTTGGTGTTTGTTGGCGTCGATACCTCAGAGCCTGAAACTCTTCTGCGTGTTTGGATCCTTAGTGAAACTCATTTTTACAGTGATCCCAAACGTTTTTTTTTCCTGCAGATGAGACTTCGTTTGAAGCGGGGGTCAAAGTTCAGATCCACAGTCAGGATGAGCCGTCCTTCATTGACCAGCTCGGATTCGGAGTGGCACCCGGGTTCCAGACATTTGTTTCCTGCCAGGAACAGAGGGTACAAACTGTTGCTTATTAATTCTTATCGATTATTATGTTATCATACTCTGCAAAGGAAGAGTTCAGAGATCTGAACAATTAATAATTTACTATAACAAAGCAAAGCAAGGTTCCATATGAGGAACAGACATGAAATAATCTGGTTTCAAATGATTGAAACAGTTTGGTTACCAACTGATTTCTTGCTATTTGATTGATTCATTGATTCACTAATCAGCTTTCAATCAGACACATTTTGTCCTATAATTAAAAATAAAAGTACACACAAACCAAGAATGCGTCTTTGGATCCTTTTCAGTGTTTTGTTTGGATAAAATCACTTTTACACAATGTCACTCATACTTTTAGTGGTTTTAACTAACTTTATTTTGATCTTTCTGTTTTGTTTTGTTTTGTTTCTGTTGAACGTATATAAATGCCTGCACTATCTCACAGTATAAGGCACTTACTGGGCTTCTGTGGCACTTTTTATTTGACTGCGTTGTTTATTGTAGGCTGTGCTATTTTTACTCTTTATCATGTTGCTGTAGGACAAAGATTTCCCTTGTGAGACCTATTTATAAATCTTAAATCAAACATTTGAAGAACCAGAAATACTCTGGTTTACCTTAAGCTTTAGTTTCAACACTGATATAAATATGAAATGGAAAATAATAGCCACAGCTGGTAAAAGAAATTTCTGTGAATTATGGCAGATGTTTACAGTTTTCACTTTCCCTTTTCTTCGACTGAACAAAGTTAAACTGGAGCCTCTTTAGAATCTCTTTTTTTTTTTTTAAACTAAATGAGTGTTTTACTTTATTATTCCTAATAAAAAAAATCACATCCATAGCTCTGAATAATAGATTAGAATTATCCGCGGGTCACATCAGACATTTTAAATCTCTCTCCCATTTATGCAGTTGTAGAATTTTTAAAAAATGGATTCGGTTGTTTAGTTCTTGCTTTTCCCTGCAAGGAGAAGCCTGCTTTTTATTTCATTTGGTATTTATTTCTTATTTAAAACACTATTAAGTCGTTATGTGGTCATTGCAGCTGATATATCTCCCCCCACCCTGGGGAGACTGCAAGGTGACGCCAATGGAGTCGGACTTCTTTGAGAGTTACAGCATCACAGCCTGTCGCATTGACTGCGAAACGCGCTACCTGGTGGACAACTGCAACTGTCGCATGGTGCACATGCCTGGTTGGTATCCGGTCTTTCTCTGTGTTGTATCAGACTTACGCCGATCTGAGAAATTACTGAAGGCACTTCAAAGAAGGAAATCAAAGAAAAAATTCATTAACGTGAGTGTGTGTTGCTGCTGCTGCTGCAGGCGATGCCCCCTACTGCACCCCCGAGCTGTACAAAGAATGTGCTGACCCAGCTCTGGGTAAGAAAGAGGCTTCATACTCCTCTAAATCTTTAAAGAACAGCAACACACGCACAAACAGAGCCATGTTTGCATCGCTTCACAGGACATCACATTTATTTCCTGCACATTTAACCAAAACCTGATATTACCTTAATATGTCTTTATGATATTAGTTCCCCCAAAAAAAGGAGAATGCACAGATTTATACCCCAAAAACATCAGAAAGACACACACGTGCACACACAGATGCAGGCACATCAGCTCGTGACATCTTGAAGTCGCAGTCGCACTGATTCAAAGGTCAAGCTGAGCTCTGGTTTTCCTCTCTCCAGATTTCCTGGTGGAAAGAGACAATGATTTCTGTGTGTGTGAGACGCCGTGCAACATGACCAGATACAGCAAAGAGCTGTCTTTTGTCAAGATCCCCAGCAAGGCCTCTGCTAAATATCTTGCAAAAAAATACAACAAATCTGAGCAGTACATTAAGTAAGTATGTTTGGGTTTTCTCACATTATTGTGTGCGCAAAGCAAAGCCTGTGATGAATGATCATTTTATTACAGGATTATTGTATTTCATTGACTTTCACTAACAAAATACAAAAAAATGTCATTTTTAAAAGCCCAATATGTTCTTTCAAGATATTTATTTTGTTTAATCATGTCCAGAAGCTAAACATTTTTAGTTTTCCTAAAAAGGAAGAAAACCCCAACCTGAGAGGCCATCATCAATAGAAACATGTGCTGACTGACAACTTTCTAAATGGTTTTAAGGGGTGAAATAAAATCTAATACTAAACTGTGTCTCTGGGTTTGATTTCTGCTTTGATTCAGTTTTCATCAACTTATACCATCTTTTGTGCATTTTGATATTTTCTGATCATATTTCTGTACAGACAGACAGTAAGTAGGTGGGGCTTCTGCCTTCACAGCGAGAGCTATGTGCCCAAGATTACCCCATTATCACACTGAAATCTAGCTAGGAGTAGATTAAAACTGTATTAAACCCAGTGTTGAGTCAACAGGAGCAACCAGGATGGAGAGGATCAGGAATCAGTATGGAGACAAAGTTACCCTGGAGTAACTTTGGAGGTGGCTGAGTTGAAGATGCCAAGATTTTCAGAATGAGAGACCAGGAGAAGATTAGAAATGAGTATATCAGGCTGAACAGTTTGGAGATAAATTTAGAGAGACAAAGTTGAGATGCTTCAGACATGTGCAGAGGAGGGATAGTGGACATGCTGGACAGAGGAAGTTAAAGATAGAGCTGTCAGACAGGAGAAAAACAGGAAGAGCGCAGAGGAGATATAGCGAAGGAGGACATTCAGAGGGTTGGTGTGTTGGAGGATGTTGGGATAGAGTGAGATGTGGCCTCCAAAGGCAGAAGCTTAAGGAAGAAGAAAAAGGTTGTCTCAAAGGCTGTGTTGTGATAACTTGGATGACATTGTCAGGGTCATATTTCAAATGTCGAACCAGTCCTTTCAGAGCCACTGACAAAGAAAACATTCAAATCTCATCTCTCAAGTGCTCTTAATTATTATTGAGCAGCTTCAAAATGAGGGATTTGTCTTCATTTGTTTATGTTGTCTCCACAGGGAAAATATCCTGGTTTTAGATATCTTCTTTGAAGCTCTCAATTATGAAACTATTGAACAGAAGAAAGCATATGAAGTGGCTGGACTTTTAGGTATAGCTTCTTTTCTATTATATAACATAGACTTCTTACATTTTTTGTCTTCATGCATTTGTTATGAATATGCTTTCATTTCAGGTGATATTGGTGGTCAGATGGGACTTTTTATTGGTGCAAGCATACTGACTATTCTGGAGATATTTGACTACCTTTATGAGGTAAGACATAGGCATTTAAGAGGCCATATAGTCTGTCATTTCTAATATGCAAAGCTTTGGACTTGATGTATTTAAACCTGACCATAATTAGATCAGTAGGAGTGATCAGAGGAGACCGTATTTCACAACACAGTTTTGTTTTATTTCTGGCTTTGAAGCAGTGTTTACACCTCATATTTAGAAAATGTAAATAATTGAAAGCATTTCTTGTTGTGTTATGCGACTTATTTCTTTTCCTGCACCGACCTTGCTGCGACTGTGCTTTTCATCCCCTCAGGTAATGAAGTACAAACTGTGCCGCTGCTCCGATAAGAAGCACAAGCATAACAACAACAATGACCAGGGAACGGTCCTGAGCTTAGACGATGTCAAGTGTCACGTCAGTAACTTTCACTAAGCTTCTGCAGCCGGGGGCAGAGAGCCGCCGCACTCTCTTGCTTGTGAGCAGCTTCGTGGACTTTGTTCTTTGCAGGTTTTCTTTCTTTTCCCACTGCTGGAACAACAGAGGAAGTGTGTGAACTGTGCCTGATTAAGGTGTGTAAGCGACATGATGAAATAGGGACGTGTGGCTGAGGTAAGCGGACAGCCACAGAGACGCGAGGGCAGGAGAACCAAGAGAAATAAAACTAAAAAAATGTTAGAATAACTGCATGGTCTTCTGTAAACACCTTTTCAAGACGTAGTAACAGATACAGTAAAAGATTACACAGGTTCATTATATGTTCAGTAAACCAGTGTTAGAAATCCCAGCAATGTGGTGTCAGTTTGACTGTTTTTGTGTGAAATAGTTGTTAATTTACAGGAATTTTTGTTTCGACTAAACCAGCTTTCTCTTTTACTTACAGCTGTCTTTACTTACAGCTGTCTTCCCCTGTTAAACTGCGCATTCTGCCATCATACTGTACTACCTCGTCTCGCAGGATGACAATGCTAAAAATAATTTAAGTAAAACTGACTGACAAAAAGGTAACTGCCATGTAGAGTAGGCGGACATTAAAGAAAGCCCAACATTTTCTTGAAAAGTAGTCGCAGGCGGTTTTCACAGAAAGCATTTTGATGTGTCACAATAGGTAAAAGCACAAATGTAAGGATAGCTGAGATCCATTTACTTTAATTATGGGTTCCTGCAGCTGGATGAATAAAACGTAATAAAATCTCAGTCACTGTGACACAGTCGTCGCTTCCCACCGTCACCACGTGCTTGTTCAGAGGGCATCATCTGTTCACTGCGGTTCTGTCTTTCTTATTGTAGGGTCTTTACCTTACAATATAAAGCACAGTCACACATCTTTAGTTGTAAAGGGGCACTATGTAAATGAAACCTAATTGAACTTTTTAAGCCCAATAAAAATTTGTACACCCCGAATTTGTATTTAATTTTATAGATGTTAAACTGCTCATATTAGTGTAGCTAGGTCTGTTTGTAAATAGAAAAAGATTAAATAATAAGAGTAAGTGTAAGCTCTGTGAAAGTAGCTGGTAGTTATTTTCTGTCACATAAATCCTGAGGTAATGGTGGATGGTCATAATAAACATGGCCAGAGTTTCAGATATGTGTAAATAATCCCTGTTAGCGAAAAGGCCAGCTTTAAACTAGTTCAGAACCCACTGTCATAATAACCTGAGATATCAGGACAAACCTTCTATTTGCAAAAGGCAGCCAATCAGACGAAAGTTGGCTGAATTGGAGAAGCGCTAAGAGTTTTTCTTCCCTTGAAGGGAGGGAATATACAACTGGTTACATTTGCTTGTCTGTCTGTTAACAGTTTAGCCTCTGCAGTTTTCAAGATATTATTTTCAATTTTGTGTGATGGTAGATACCAATAACAGCTCAAGCTGATTTCATTTAGGTGGAAATCAGGTCAAGGTGACATTTGATAATCAGTAAAAACTTTATATTACCCAATGTTTTTAATGGCTCGTCTTCAAACTTCACAACAATATACAAGGCTTTTGGGGATACAAGTACCTGGGTAAGCGTTTGACCTACACTGTTAGCACGAAGATCAAAATTTCAAGAATCTATAACAAGTAATATCTCATATGAAAGGGCATGGAGGACACTTTTCTTTTGCAATACAGTGCCCTATGGTGTTGCAGTAACACCGTGACAGGCTAACGTTATCATATTGTAATAAAAACACCATAAAACATCAAAGTTTTAGTCTAGTCGGTTGCTCTCTGAGTGCTCTTGTTTTTGCTTTTTTCAGACAGTGAATGAATCGATAAACTACCCAAAGGTCCAGCATAAGACACATAAAGAATAATTTGAACTGTGACTCATGTAGACCTATTGTAATGTAGTCCACAATAAAAATACAGAATTGGAAATGAGCACTATAAGCTCTTTCTCACTTTCTCTCAGAAAACGTTTGTTTTCACATTTTCACCGCACATTCCAGTTTATGTATGAGAGTAAAAAGGGCCTACGTATGATTTTTATGCACACGCATAGTTTATACATCCAGCCTCTGATGTTGCGCACGGTGTCGCACTTTGGCCCATCATATGACGCTTGTGAATGTTATCAGTAACCTGTGTTTTTCCTGCTGTAACAAGTTCAAATGCCCGCTGTGAAAAAGATCTGCCAAGGGAACTACTTGGGTTAAACACGAGCAGGAAGTTAAAAACCAGTTGCTAGATTCCCCGCAAAAAAGATGTAATCGAACAATATGACAAAGAGACTTAATCATCGTGTACTGTATAGCTTTGCTGTAGAAATGAGAAATTTATCAACACGTGATGCCATAACATTTGTTTAAGAGAATGTCATTCATGTTTACATGCTTTTTGTCACATTTTAAGGAAATTTGCTTCTGTTGTGTCAACAAGGCTGGATCACATCAACTAGAATCAATATTTTGAATGTTTTTGTTTTTTACTTTCGAACGCTTACTTGCATGTAGCACTGTACAGCAAGCATCCTATATGTACAGTTCATCCACACCTGCAGTTTGAGCCTTCTTCTGTCCTCGTGTCTGGGTGCGTTTTGTGAGCATGTATTCATTTGCGGTTTTACGACGATGAAAGAAAAGTGGAAAGAAACTGCCCTAAAATGCTCAACAGTGAGTGTGGTGTCAGGTAGATGGTGAAAATCTGAGCTCTGCGGAGCATGTGTGAGAGTTTCCCTCATGATTGTGTATATACCAAAATTAGGGATGCACCGATATATCGGCCAAACCTCGGCACAGCCTGATCTCGGCCTTGTTGACCATTCACTTCTCTGCAAACAAGAATGTATTTATTGACGTGAGTGTTTTCTGATCTTTTTTTCACAATGCCTAATGTTTAAGATGGTGTGTCAGTTCTGTTATTGAAAATGTGCTTGTCTTCCTGGCACACGAAGGAAAAGCAAACAAGAACAAAGCGTGGCATGCCCAGAAGTTCACAGTCGGTGCATCCCTACCAAAAATCTAACCATGTTTATTATTCTGCTCCTTGTTGTTCTCAACAGGAAGTGGGATCTGATTAGCGTGTAGCTGTGTGGTATTACTATCAAGCACAATTATTCCATCAGTTGTAATTTAGTGTAAATATTACTGTTGACTGTGGATAATAATCCTCGTGTATTAGCATAGTCTGGTTTGTCTAACGGTGTACTTAATGATTTATTTCAAAGAAACTTGCTGTGTGTCTCAATTCATTTTTTCTTCTGTAAATTTGTTTATTTGTCAAAGACAAAGTAGGGGGGGCTGTTTGTTTGTTTTTATTAATATTGCTAGAGTTGAGTCACAGCAGCCGTTCTCATCAGTACATGAGAATTAAATAGCCAGACTGTTGCTGCATGAGGTCGCCCAGCTTACTGCTTTTGTTTTTGCCTCCGTCTTTACTTTTGCCTTTTCATTTGTGATATGAAAGGATGGCTGTTTTAGTCTGGTGATGTAAAGATGAATAATGGACTTGAATCGGTTGTTACATTAAAGATCAAATGCTAACCGTATGTATCTCTTATTCATTTCAAGGAGTTATGTGTCATCATTGTAACTATAAATATATAATGTTAAATAATACACTGAATATTCCTGTGCTCATTTTAGCTGCAAAACAACACTTTCTTTTTTTAAATGGACTCCCCCTCATATGTCTCGAAGTGGTTTGGTCCGCTCCCCCAATTCCTTTTATACTCACTGTTGAATCCTGTGTTTCGGTGCAGCTTCTGTTGTTTTTACAACAGTCTCTCGCTGCATGCTACGAGGGCAGGATGACATCTTCATCATCTTCAGTATCGTCAATGTGATCCTGATAATGATGATGATGATGATGATTTGTTCTTGTTGACTTCAACTGACTCCCAGCTTGCACTGGGGCAGTTTGCAGCTGGGTGTGGAGTGGGCTGGGATAACATGTATAACAGCTGTAAAATATAGTGCTCACACTCTGGGTTGGGGAGGGCTTGCTGACTTATGTAGAGGAAGTCCAAGTATCTTGGGGTCTTGCCCGTAAGTGAGGGAAGAATGTGAATGTCTGACTGGGAGAGATTATGTCTTTGGACTAGTTTGGGGACTCTTCTGTGTGAGTTGGAGGTGGCTATGAAGCAGGAGGTCTGTGCATCTGTGCTTTCAGTGCTGCCCCTGGGAGTTGAGCTGAATAAGTGTGGAAAAGGGATTGATGGATGGACCACTGGCCCCCTTTGAAAGATCCTGGAAAAAACCACTGGCTTAAGAACAAAGCATATTGGCTTAAATTCACTATAACGTTTACATTTTCACTCATAAATGAACTACAGTAAATATCTCCTAGACTCTAATAACCCTGCAGCAACACAGCTTCACATATCAGCCCAGTCAACTCTTTCTTTTTGAACTATTTTCTGCAGAGTAAGCTGGATTTTGTCAGTTTGTTTTAAAGTTGCTAAACCAGACTGCTGAGAGCACTTCCTTCCCGTGTTGCCTCTTCACCCACTGATCAACACTTACGTAACAAGGCGGTCCTTTGTTCGAGCCCTTTGGACCAAATAATTTTTGCCACAGTGAGCTTTTTGTGGTTTGCTCCAGTGACTTTTAACGTCACTTAGTTCAGAAAGAGCAGTAAAGTGGTAAAGAAAAAAAATACACCATTACAAATTCACTTAGAAGTTCTTACCTGTCTAATGTTTATCCAACATTGTGCTATTGGTGCTGATGCATTAAACTGTTAAAATTGGCCTGACTTTAATGTTCTGACAGTTTTTTCAGCCATTGAAGTGGACAGTGGACATACACTGTACATAAGAGATACTAGTATCATTGTTAAATCTCTAGCTGAGTGTCTTGGCTGTTCTGATCTTTTGAGACTTTTAAATCATTAAATAAGCCTACCCAAAAACTTAGGCTGCCCTTACTGTTGAACCTATTTACTTTTCTAATCATTGGGATCTATAACTTAAACCATCATGCTGTCTTCAATGAGATTTTACAAAATAAACCGACACCATAAAGTCATCAGTTTTACTGAGGTTATACATCAAGGGAGCCAAATGATCGCTATCCCTCTAAATTATATACAATCTGACTTTTTTTTCCTCCAGAGGAGTCGCCCCCTGCTGATCATTAAAAAGAATGCATGTTTAAAGTGTTTACATATTACCCTAAGACTGGAAAAAGACCTATAATGCCCTTTGTATTATATTTGATACACGAGTTTCTGAGACCTCTATCTCATCAACATGATCAATACTTGCCGTAAAAAAACTCTTTTTTTTGTCTAAAATTATTATTGTTGTTAACAAAAAGTTGCCAAAAACGCCCAATGTATATAATATGATACAAAAAAAAATGTAATAAATATATAATAAAAATTTATCATACACAACATCATATAGCAAAAATTATGGATTTTATTATAAGGGTTAATAAACATCTCAGTTCCAAAAAAATCAGAATTTTCTGGCTATCTTTTGATGGGCTGGGTCTCACAGGATTAAGTACTTCTTTTGTTTTTGCCTTTGTTTTTCCTTCTAGTTTAATTCAATCAAATACAAGTAGCATTCCTAAATTCAAGCATTTAATGAAGTAGTAATACAGGTAAGTAAAAATACTTTAAAGCACCAGAATGGAGAATAAAGGACTCATTTTGGAAGTAATGATGTATGAGTATGCAGTCAATAGCACCCATGAGAAAATATAAATATAGGTAATATTTCGATGTAATATTGTTTCTGCCACTGAAAAATAAATAAATAAAAGTTGAAATCTCAACTTATCACAAAATTTAGAGTTACGTATCTGAAATTTTCAAGCACTTTTCTAAGTATAACGTGCTTGAAAATTTAGTTTCTAAGAACATTTTCAGTTAAAGTTTGAAGATACTAACCTGAACATTAATCCTGTTTCATATTTTTTTGTTTTGTTTTTCCCCTCAGTCAAAATTTCAGGTATCTTAGTATCAGGTTAGATTATCAAGATAATCCACTGATTGCCTTGCTTTGATTGTTAATAACAAGGAGCTTAAGGAATGAAAACTTTAATATTTACTTCAATGTTTTTAAGCAACTGTTTTATGTAGTCAAAATAAAAAATGTTTTATATGGAAATGTTTTATCTGTGTGAATATAACTGTTAAAATATCACCTTGACATTACAATTTTATGTCCTGTTTAAACAAATGTTTTGTATCATTAATCCAGTAATGTAAGTAAGTATACTTTTGTTTGTTTGTTTTACAGGAATTGGCAAAGCCCCCATATGTTATCATATGTCATTACAAGATTTAATTTAGTTGTAATCATTTAGTAATTGTTGCTAAGTTGGTTAATTATTGAATAATTACCATCTCGTTTTGTCAATTACAATTGTAAGATATGTCATTAATCTAAATCTACGTCTGGTTAGTATATATTACACATATACAGACAAGATAATGGTTTAGATTGTGTGTTAGTATGTCAGCATTGATCAGCATTGATCATCTATATAATTCAAACAACCATAGTTCAGGTTTTAAATTAAATAAAATCCAACAGCTTTGCCTCCTCTGGATGAAAAGTCACTTGCACATGCAGATGATGTGAAACCATAAAGGCTGACATGGAGACTTTGGCCCCAGTCTAGCATGCTAGCCTCTGCTCTGATGGCCTTGGTCTTGCTTTAATGGGCGGGCCGGTGTCTCCCCTCGGGCAGACCAATAAAACCAGGGAGGCACTGTGTGTGTGTTGCATAACTGGACTGCAGTCGGTACAGGTTCACTCCACACACTCAGCGGTTTACCTCTTCACAATGGCAGCTCCGAAGAAAGTCTGCATCGTGGGCTCTGGAAACTGGCAAGTCGATGTGTTGATGTTTTGAACCGTGTCCGGTTGTCTCATATGTGCGGTTATCCGCTGGACACGGCGCACAGTAACGTGCGGGAAGTTTGACCTGCTGTACCTGTAACTGCCAGATAGGCTTCGTTAGCGGAGGCGACAGTTGGGTTTATCTCCGCGTGGAGTCACACGCTGACAAGCCGGTTTATAATCGTAGAAAACTGGCCACAAGTCTGGCAACATTACTGGGATTTTTGTCGTTAGCTTTAACGTGTCTGCCGCCTGTTAGCTCGCTCTTATTAGCGGTAGCAGAGACATCAGCAGCTGTTCGCCACCGAACCTCCGTTTACCGGTCTAATAAATTAACGTCACCTCCCCAAAGAGATAAAAGATGATTTGACACGAAAAATAGATTTTTTTAAATCGTCCTGTAAATTCGGTGTGTGGGTTCAGTTTATGAGCCAAATAAAAAATTTAATTTTTTTTTACATTCTTCTCATACACACACTGTGGTTTTTGTAGTTGTAGCTCTTATTTTGGAACGAAATTAAATGTATGTCTATTTCTTTTTATTTCCGAATTCATGATTACCCCCCAAATAATTAAAATCATTCCATAAACTGGTTATAAAGCCATTATAATTTTGCTGCTGCTTATGCTAAAATAAAATTGCAAGAATTCTCAATGGAGTTCGGTGTACACCCGTGGAAACAGTATGGAGGATTGGTGATTGCAGCATACCGTTATCAGCTTATCTCTGCGTGCAGCTTTGCCTTCTTGCCCTGAAATATTAGTTAATGATCAAATAGGAATCGTTACCTTTAATGATCACCCCATTAGATCACAGTATGACTGAGTGAGAATATTGATTTTTCCTGTAAAATGAACATTGACTTGTAACTGTTAACCACGCAGGGGCTCAGCCATTGCCAAGATCGTGGGTGCCAATGCTGGTAAAAATGCAAAGTTCGACAATACTGTAAAAATGTGGGTGTTTGAGGAGACTGTGAATGGGCGCAAACTCACTGAAATAATCAACTCCGAGCACGAAAATGTCAAGTACCTTCCTGGACACAAGCTGCCAGCAAATGTGGTAAGAAAAATGTATTTTTAAAAAACATTTTAGTGCCTGTTGTCTTATATATGTAAGTAAGGTCCTTGAATAGATGCTTTGCAGCTGTTAGTTTTATAATAAGTTTAACAGCTGCCTCAGGCTTTAAAGACATGTCATCATCCCTTCTCAGCTGGCAGTGCCGGACTTGGTGGAGGCGTCCAGCGATGCAGACATTTTGGTGTTTGTGATCCCGCACCAGTTTGTGGGGAAAGTATGTGACACCATAAAAGGGAAGATAAAGAACGATGCACTGGGAATATCACTCATCAAGGTTTTTTTTTTATTACTAGATATGGATTTTACACCTTTTATCTCCAAAATATTGCCAAGTTTATTCAGTGGTGTTTGATCCAGACACCAGCATGTTGTGCTTTTGTTCCCTCAGGGCGTAGACGAGGGTCCAGATGGACTCAAACTCATCTCTGACGTGATCCAGGAGAAGCTCGGTATCACCATGAGCGTGCTGATGGGTGCAAACATTGCCAATGAAGTTGCTGATGAGAAGTTTTGTGAGACAACCATTGGTTAGTTTTGTCCCTTTGTTGCGCTCAAATGGGCCCATTGTTGTTGAATTATTTTTGCACTTCAATCAAGAATTAAAG